ATAACAGAAGGCCAGGCATGGTGGCACACACCTGTAATCCCAACACTTGGAGGCTGAGGCAGGAAGAGCACCGTGGGTTCAAGGCCAGCCTGGACTACATAATAAGACCCTCTCCAAAAGCCAAAAAAAAAAAAAAAAGTAGTATCAAAGGACCCAGAAGCAACATTATCTCAAGTCACAATGAGCACAACTAGCACAGATTTTATTCTCAGACCATTCCCCAAAATACAGAACCTGGAAAAGCTTAGAACATGTAGAAAAGGCTAATTCTACAAATGAGGCAAGAAACAACAAAATGAACCCAGAGCACCTACTTTTGCCATGAAATAAGGAAAAGAGATTTAAACTATACATAGGAAAAGTATTACAAGGGCTCAGCAGCATAATTGCCTGCTGGGAGGTGGTGGGGGAAGCATTACAAATACTACCAGTTTATCAAGACTAACATCAACATTGATAATTATTATTATTGTTTTGTATTTCTGTGAAGGGTCTACAGGGTGTTCAGGGTCTCACTACTAGATCAGACTCATAGTGATCTGTCTGTTTACAGCCTCCCGAGAGCTGGGATTACAGGTACGCACTACCATGCCCAGTCTTTTTTTTTTTCAGAACCGAGGATTGAACTCAGATCCTTGAGTTTGCAAGCGCTTATCCTACTGAGTCATCTCCCCGCCCCCCCCTTTTTTTTTTTTTTTTTTTTTTTTTTTTTTTTTTGCAGAACTGGGGATTGAACTCAGATCCTTGCATTTGCCAGTCAAGCGCTTATCCTACTGAGCCATCTCCCCGGCCCCACCATGCCCAGTCTTAATCACTATCTCAGCACGCCTTGGAGGCGGGGCCTGCAAGGGAGGCCTGGGGATTGAACCCCTGGGCCCTGAGACTGCTTGCAGGCACTTTAATCCACTGAGCTATTTGGCTGGCCCAACATTAATAACTTATACTCGTTCTATGTATTCTTGATTTGAGAATAATACTTTATGTCTAGGATCTTCCTCCAAAAACTGTAATCCCTACTATGGCACACATTCCAGCAGAGAGTCTACAAAAAACATCTGACCCATGTTCTTCAAAACTGCTGAAATCACCAAAAGACTTAGTGAACTTATATTGCAAAATAAAGAGCTAGGGGTGTAGCTCAACTGCAAAAGCCCTGGTTTCAATCCACAGTGCCAATAAACAAACAAAACACAGATTTTTTTTTTTTTTTTCCAGAACCCGGGATTGAACTCAGATCCTTGCGTTTGCCAGTCAAGTGCTTATCCTACTGAGCCATCTCCCCGGCCCCCAAAACATAGATTTTTATATTTAAAAAAGTTTAAATAAAAATATGTTTAAAGGACCAGCCAAATAGCTCAGCAGATTAAAGCACTTACTTAGGCAGACACAGAGGCCAGGTGTTCCATCCCTGGGCCTGCTATGCCAGCCCCACCCCAGCATGGGACGGAGACTGCGATTGAGAATGGGTGTGGTGGCATGCTCCTGTAACCCCAGCACCCCAGCTCGTGGGAGGCTGTAAACAGGAGGACCACTACAAGTCCGATCTAGTGAGACCCTGAACAGCCTGCAGACCCTTCTCTAAAATAAAAACTTCCCTAAAATAAAAAATTTAAAAATGATACCAAACTTTGACTTCACTATAAGCAAGATTTAACTAAATCCACTTTAGCTCTTCTACCTGTTTCCAGTGAATACTCAGTTATTATAAGAGAACTAAATTTAGCTGTTTTTCCTAACATGCCTTAAAATTTTGAAATTTTGGCAGGAAATTCAGAGAGGGGATTTAACCTTGAACAAGTCCTTACCTACAAAATGATCCCTCTGAAAGAAGTTCATCAATCTGCAATATTTTATTTATTTTTTAATTTTAGTACAGGGTCTACAGCGTCTCACTATGCAGATCCAACTCCTAGTGATTCTCTTGTTTTCAGCCTCTGGAGCACTGAGATTACAGGCACCAGTCACCACACCCAGTCTCAATCGCCCTCTCAGCTGCCCCCAGGGCCAGGGCCAGGGCCAGGGCCAGCACTGCACACCTGGGATCAAACCCCAGTTAGTCTGCAGCTAAACTATCTGGCTGACCCAACCTGCAATATTTTAAAAGGTGAGGAAAAAAAAAAGAGCCACACCCTTTCATTTGCTACACACTTAAATGCCACCCAAAAGACATGGGGGGAGGGGTGCTGACTGAAATAGCAAATATTTGGAAGATGCAATTTATCATAGTAGAGCTTAAAACAGCAAGAAAAGCAAAAAGAGGGAAAAAAAACTAAAACAATGCCTAATGACAAGAAGAAAGTTTGGCACAAGCAACAGAATAGTCTAACCATTAAAGCCATAATGTAAGTTTTAAAACCAGGGCCTTGGCACTGAGCTAGATCCCAAGCCCTTTATTTTTTAGAGGTTTTTTACAACTTAAGGCACTAAGTTGTTCAAGCTCAAACTTGTGATCCTCCTGCCTCAGCCTCCCAAAGTGCTGAGATAAATGTATCTTCATGCCCAGAAAGTCTAGATACAGTCAGGCATGGTGGTACATGCCTGTAATTCCAGCACTCAGAAAGCTGAGACTCAAAGACAGCTCTGAGTTCAAGGCCACTCTGGGCCACATAGTGAAACAATGATCTCAAGGCCAGACTGAATTCTACAGGAAGACCTTGTCTTTAAAAAAAAAAAAGGCTAGGGCTGAGGAGATAGCTCAGCACCCTAAGTGCCTGGGCAAGGACCCAGGTTTGATCCCTGGTACCACCTGCTGGCCCTGGAACTCTGTGCCGGCCACCAAAACCAAGAACGGTGTCGCATGCCTGCAATCCCAGCACTGGGGAATATGAGTCCGAGCTGCGCAGTAAGACTCTGTACCAGTTTAATAACTTTTATTTTTATTTTTTTAATAATTTTTTAAAAGCCTAGATACAAACAAAGTTAGTGAAAATTCTAGCACCAATGGCTTACAGCTAGAAGTATATAAAAAAAAAAGCAGCACTTACAGTGGAATTATTAATATTTGAAAAAGCTATGTTGAAATGCATGTAAAAATATTACACTAATGTAAGTTCAGATTTCTCTGCCTTTGGCTGGAAGTATATTAACATGATGAGGAAAAGGGCAATTTTTCCAGTCAAATTAAGAGAAATTTCAAATCTAGCATAAGACCAGAAAACAGATGAATAAAGGCAGATATGATTTTCAAAATACTTAACAATCTGCCCAGTGTAACAACCAATCCAAACAAATGCCAGCCATAAACATACCTTATAGCCGGATATGAACCCTGGTTTGAGCCCCATCTGAGGAACTTCCTTCCCATGCTGAATTTGAGCCTTGCCTGCAGTGGAGCAGTAAGCTACAGCTCTATCAGTTACACACACATTTACCATACAGTTTTGATAAGCACACATAGATCCTCAGCTGGGGATACATAGCTCAGTAGTACAAGTGCCTGCTTGCCAAGTGCAAGGTCCTGAGTTCAATTCCCAGTACAAAAAAAAAAAAAAAACACAAATATATCCTCTACAGCTCTTAACTAATCACTGGATCACTATAGTGGCAACTGACCTAGCACCTGTCATGAAAACCGAGGGGTGGGGGGAAT